GGTTTGAGTGGAACGAGGGTACGGAAATGTGAGATTGGTTGGAAAGGTCCGTCCTGAGGCGTGTACGTTTACGCGGGACGATGCCGTCCCTGACGAGGTGACGATGCCCGGCCCGACGGGGTGTCGATGCCTGACGTGGTCAGAAGACCGTTGGCCTGATGCGTTTTACGCGGGCGCGGTAGAAGGAAAGTGTGTGTAGGATTCCGTCCTGAGGCGTGTACGTTTACGCGGGACGATGCCGTTCCTAACGAGGTGACGATGCCCGGCCCGACGGGGTGGCGATGCCTGACGAGGTCAGAAGACCGTTGGCCTGATGCGTTTTACGCGGGCGCGGTAGTGGTGGAAAGGTTGAGAATGAGTGGGATTTGGCAAGACAAGCGAGAGGATTGTGGAAAGTGACGCATGGTGTGAGTAGCGTGCGAGCGTGTTTGTATCGCGCGATGTGATGCTTAATTATGGGTAGAAACTGCTAGGCACGGTATGGGACGTGCCCAAGTGGTTTCTGTCTTATAATTGAGGCACGCGCGCGTCTGTGATTCCTTGCTGTGATGTGTTGGCTGTGTTATTGTCTAACGTGCAGGAACGTGCGTGATGGATTCCGGGTAGGGTCGCATGTGATTGTTAGTTTGGCCGATCGTGTGTTATGTGTGTTTTCGTCGGCGGTACGTGAGTGCCTACGTGGGGTTTGGGGTTGTACACTTATTGAGATTCGTCTCACGGTTGTATAACCGCCACTTTCGAACCCCGGCCCTAAACCCGGAAGTGCGCCTTTTCTTTTTGGAAGTCCGGGAGCTGCTGTTGGTGCCCGGTGGAGCTGCGGTGAGTTCCGAAATTCAAGCCGAGATTCGAAGCGGCCGGAAGAGGGCGACCCTTAGGTTTTTCCTAGGGTGTTTTAGGGGTTGTATAACTTAGGTTATCCGATAGTGAAGTTAAGATAACCAAACCCCTGAACTTTTGTTTAAACGGTGACTGAGGATGCTAGTTTGTTAATTATGCCTGTAATATGATGTATTTATATTTGGTGTTGTATGAATATGTGGTTGCTGGATTGTTCTGTTGTTCTACCCCGTTGTCGTCATTATTTGTCCGGGGCTTTATTATTCGCTTCCGCATGTGGCTCTGATGTTCGGGTTGGGTCGGCGACGTTCCTGGGACGTCGCATCATTTCGACCGGAGTAGGGGATGTCGCGAGCTCGATGGGGTTCGGGGCGTGACAAAAATAATTCCTACTCTCTAAATCACAAATAAATTGTACTTAGGGTGAGCAGAGTCGAATCCATAGAGACTGACAAATTGTTAATCCCTTGAAAACCAAGTAAACAATAAAAGCAAAATTAAAAAGGGAGGTTTATGCAGAATATGCTTAAATAAAATAAGCAAACAAAAATTAAAGAAAATCAAATTATGCAACATCTAGCAAAGGTAATCTCACTCAAGTTCGGAAGTTGATCATTGAGTCAAACGAATAATCTCAAACACTGCAATAGACTGGTTATGGTTGTTGAAACGCTTCTAACAACCTAATCTTTCCTTAATATTAGATTAACCGGACACGCGCCTGTGATTAATCCCTTATTAACGAATAACCCCGACACGCGCCAAGGATTCAATTCGCTAATAGCATGAAAAACAAGAAAAACCCAACTGTAGCCAATAAATCACACGCGTAACTTATTCAAGCTAGATAATATATTCTCATAATACAACTTGAATATTTGGTTTTAATCAAGTCATATTATTTGCCATTATTATTAAAACACCTAAACAATTACGGGTTTGGGTATTTCAATTGGCAAACTATCACACTGTCAATTGCACAACGAGCTCTTATTGTAACAACCAACAAAGCAATGGTAAACAATAAAATAAAGAATATATAAATACTGCAGAAATTAAGAAGGATGATTAAGTTTAGATCTCACAACTTGAATGAACTTGAATTTTGATAATCCTTTGCTAGATTAAAGAGGAGTTAGCCACACATGGCTACAAAATGCGCAAAATAATATGTTTCTGAATTTTCTAGAGTCAAGTCTCTCCTCCCCTCTTGCGTTCAACCTCTTAAATAACAAAAAAAAAAAGAAAGTCTAGAAAAAGAAGTTCTATCCAACATGGAAAGAGAAAAAAAAAGGCAAAAACTTCTCCTTAATGTCCCTAATTAAGAGTCCTATTTAAGTACAAAAATCCTTCACAATCAAATCCGGAAAATATGGAAATTAATGGCCAAATCACGTCCCCAAATTCTGCATCAGCTCTGCATCCGCGCGACCTTAAACAGTGAGCACGGATCTCTGAAAAATGGATGTTTTACATGCAGAATCCCAACTAACAGCTCAAAAACACATCAAAAGCGTCCAAAATCTTCACGATTGCATCATTCACCATCACCTAACCACAATGCATAAAAACAAATAAATTACACTCTATTTATTCGAATATTTGCCCAAAATACCACCAAATATAATCAAAATATAAGTCAATTATACACATCATCAGTCTCGCTTTTTTCACTCCCTCTTTGACTAAAACACTTCTCAGCATAATAATCTGACTATAGGGCTACCCTTTTTCCACTCCTGAAATATAAAATATAAACAAATAATGCAAAAAAATATTTAAATACTATTAAAAATTGTCCACGTCAGCGCTGGCCACACCACGTAAGATGCCGCCACATAGGATGGACAGCGTCCATGTTAGCGATTTCCAGCTTAATATTGGCTAGATGAACTGAATTAGCACAAATGCAAAAAGTGTTGGACTCAATTGACAATAAAAAAAAGATTTAGAACTGAATTGACAAAATTACAATAGGTTTAGGACTTTTTTAGTAATTTTCTCATAGATGGAGCAATAGACCAATAGATGAATGGATGGCTTTTGGCCGAAAATATCGGGAGAAGAAATTCTTCACGAGTAGTCTAGATAAGCATTGATATCTTGTTGGTCGATAGTCACGACTAATGTACATATTGTGATTTCGAGAACTTGTAAAATATAGAAATAGATCTTGTATGGATATACATATACATTATGTCAAAATCATATGGACTTCGTTAAGATTGGCATTTTCAGGAGTCGGTTCGAATTGGCTTCAATTGATTGCAGTTTAGTGCCTTTTCAAGTTTTGGTTTCAGGCGCATAAACAAATCAACTGTGCTTGGATTGGGATGTGTTTAAATTCAAAGTACTATTCAGTGACGACCCGTTTGTCTTATTCACCAACCTTTTGTAAACCATTAATTTGTGGTTGACAAGATAAGGTGGAACTGAGATTTCAATGAAAATTTCTTATTTCTAGTGTAATTATTCGTTTTTAGGCAAAAGACAACTTTCAAACAATGAAACGCGGTTGGATAACAGAAAATACTAAGAAGAAAAATTATGCATTCATCAATTTACAATATAGTTTTCGTGTTTGTTTGTTCAATGAAAAACCATTCTTGATAAATTATTTCTAAACTTTCTAGCATTGGATGATAGAAAACTAATCGATCGAGAGAAAGCATTTTTCATTGACTAAAACAAGTTTAGATTAGGAAAAACGACTTCCCATTTTAACAAGAAAAAAATAATTTTCATGATTTGGTACTTCGCGTCCAAATGAAAAGATTAGATTCTTTTGTGTAATTTCCTATCTCTCATCAATTTTTTTCTATTTTTCCAATGATACATATATGTATATGTATAATTTGTTTTTACAAATATGTTCGTCTATCTCCTCAATACTTCGATAATACTCATGTTCTTCTACATTCCCAAAACATATGATCACATATAATACTTACAAATATGATTTCTTAATTTCTTTCCTAATCTCTTTATATCAATGTTATTTTGATGGATTACAAAATAAACATAAAAGGTTAATTCCAGTTTGTTAGTCATTATTTGTTATATATATTGATATATGCTACCTTTAGTAGATTCATTTTGCAATCGCAATTAATGTTGATTTCATTAATTGAGGCACTTGTCATTCCAATGTTTTCACAATTTTTTTCTTGAAAAAAAAATAAAGTTGACTTCTTGAACATGAACTTCAAATATTTTGTTTTTCCAAATTTCTCCAAAGAAAAATTAAGAAAGCACATCACTCTTTCTTAGAGGACGGACTATTATTTTTACATTAATTGATGTAATCAAACACATTTAAGGAAATGAATAATGATAAATTCAAACATGACACGAATTGATTCTTATTGTATATAATCAATTTTTAACATGTTCAATAACAGTACAATATTTTTTATTATATTTTTTAATTAAGCTACACAAGAATTCATAATCTGAATTTTAATTCGAGGTATATGGTGTTGCTCATATCTTACAAAGATTTGCTTATTTATAGATCAGATCATATTAGAGCTCTTTTTAGAGAAGAATTATCATGCGATTAATTTAGGGAGAATGATACAAATAGTTCAAACTTTGGCCCAATATACAATTCGTTATTAAATTTTTAATTTATTTAATATTATCCCTAGACTTCAACCAAATGTGCAATGTCGTTCCTAAACTTTTAATTTGTTTAATGTGATTCATGAACTATCGCCATGTGTAAAATGTCATCCTTGAACTTTTAATTTGTTCAATATGGTCCATGAATATTTTATACGTGTTCAACTTGATCTCTGGACTATATGAAAATATTTAATATTGTTCATAAACTTGAATTAATGAAGCATAACATTGGTTATTTTCATAGACTTTAGGGACTAGATTAAATATTTACTAAATGTTCAAAAACCACATTGAACAAACTAAAAGTTCAAGGAAGTCATTGCACGTCGAGTCAAATTTCAGGAGCTATATTGAACGAATTAAAAGTTTGAGAATTTAGAGTTCGGAAACCATTTGTGTAATTATCTTATTAATTTATGAAGTTACTATTGACCTTGTCCAAAAAATTATTATCTTAAAAAAAATTTTGCCCAAAGAAAGTTCCAAAGATCTCTCTCTCCTCTCTCTCTCTCTCTCTCTCTCTCTAGTTTTCTAAACCGGCAAAGATCAAGTAGATGGAAGAGGAGGCAATTCACGGTTGATTCAAACATTCTGCTCAAGAAATGGTCAGATTCGGCCCCCCATTTCTTGATTTCTTCTCTCAAACGCCCCGAAAACGCGTTCCGTCATCTCTCAATTCCTCAAATTCTTCCGTGATGCAGAGATTCAATTTCCCTTTCCATGTCCTAATTCCGGGGATCGCGTGATTAGTTTCTTGCACATTCTTGTCGTCGTCGCCGCTGCTTCATAATGAACGACTTCGACGGCCTGCTCGCCGCCGATTTCGGCCTCAAATCGCAGATCAAGTCGGCCCCAATGTCCGCCTCCAAGCCTTCTTCCAATTCTCGACCCTTTCCCGTTGACCCAGATCCTGTTTTGAGCTTTAGGGGCGCTCAAAGATCGGAGAAGTTCGACAATTATGGTGGGTTCGACCATACGAAGCAACCCAGGAAGCCCGATTCCGGTTCCGTGCCCATTTCGGGCTCGAAGTCGTCTTCGAGCTTGCCGCTTTACGATAAGCCCGTTTATGATGGAGATAATGATGTGCTGGATCGCGTGCTCGGATCGAGGAGCTCTTCTAGCGGGAGTGGCAGTGGCCACTGTGACGATCTTTTAGCTGGAGTTGGGAAGAAAGACGACGGTTCTAAGAGTAAAGCTGCGAAGAACGGCGATATGGGTATGCAGCATTTCGATGGTTTGATGCCTGGATTTGGTAGGAAGGCTTCTCCGATTGGAAGGTACTACTTTTGTATTATTGTGTGCCTGTATGGTCAATGTTTCGTGTATGCATTAGTGAACATGCTTGGTCTACGGTGGACGTGAAGAGCCTGCATAATCCTGCATAGTGCGATTTCTTGGCCGGTAGTTAGTGCTTGCTCATGTCCACTTGCAAGCCTAGAATTCTTGGTACAACGAATGATGCCGTTATGTAGCTGGCCTGGGCAAATGAATTCTCAATGTTGGTGAATGGTTCGGTGTGTTCTACTCTGCCGTGATATTGTCTTGAGTTTACTAAATCTCTATGAATGTGACTTGTCTCTTATTAAGTTGCAAAATGAGTTTGTCTTGCTCTCGCAATTTGACACTATATATATGTGGTATGCAATGCCAAGTATGTGAGCCTTTACTCCAAGAATAAGGGGTATCTATAATGTCCATTGCTCCCTCCCCTCTTGTTGACTGATGAGTTAAGATCAGTGATCTAGTGGGGTTGTGGTGCTTTGCTAGGGGTGTTGTTATCCTTTTAATACTTTTAAGATGTCATTGTTATACTTGGTAAATACTCTTTCCTGTAAATGGTTTGGTATATGGATGGTATTCACTTGGGACTGTTCTGACGAGAGGCGTCTGTGGTAGATCTCATTAATTCATTGGGGAATGTGCAAATAATGTTCACTCTTATAATAATTCACGTTATGAAATAAAATAAAATTAAGGCATGACAGCATCTATTCTTTGCTATTATTTCTATTTTAGTTTCCTTTTCTTTTGATTTTTGTACTCTATGCTTGATATGAAAATGTTGGTTACTTCAAGTTTTATCTTTCTCCTCTTCAGACCAAATCCTGAGTCAAGTTGGTCATCTAGGCCTAGGGCTCACACTAGTAAAATGACAGAAGACCCCTTTGTGGTATTGGGATCTACCTCACCCCATGTTGCCTCATCTTCTAATAAGACAGGTAAAGCTGGAAGCACGGCAGCTGATGGTTCATCTGCTTCCGCCGGCGAAATCCAAGATGATTTGGAAATTCTTAATAGTATTAGAAAATCTGCACCATCCTTTTCATTCAATAAGAATGACCAGTCAAGGAGGGAAATGAATGTGGACAATGGCAGCAAATTTCAACATACATCTTTTGACATGGCTTCAGGCTTGAACAACTCCCGCAAATCTACTGGTCAGACTGCTTCTTCACCAATATATGGCAGGGGCAGTACGCATGACACAAAGACCCAGGGCGATACTTCCCCTTGGTCTGAGCGGAATGCGGGATCATCTGATGAAGTTTGGCTCACTGTGTCCGAGATTCCTCTTTTTACACAACCAACAACTACGCCTCCACCATCTAGACCCCCGCCCCCTCCACCAGCCCGAATTCCAAAGGCAGGAAGTAGATTATTTGGATTAAAAAGTGCAAAGAAGAAGATCAATGAATCCTCTTCATTCCCAAATCCCGCTCAACGCTACCACAGTCCAAAGTCAAACCCTTCAATGACCAAGGTCTCGTCTCCATCAGCTGTGGATGAACTTGAAAAGTTTGCCAGGGACAGTAGCCCTAATAGTCCCGATGATCTCGTAAATGGTCTTTCTAGGGAGGAACAGGCTAGGAATTCAGAGGTAGCTGCGTCATCTGCAGCTATGAAAGCGGCTATGGATAGAGCTGAGGTAAAGTTCAGGCATGCGAAGGAAGTAAGGGGTAGAGAGAGTACTAAAGCTGCCAGAAGTAAAGATGCACAGCTGGAAAAGGATGAGAATGTACATGACTCTCAAGAGCAAGCTTTCAAAGAAAAACAAAGGGAAGAGGAAGAGAGGGAGCAAAGGAGACTTGAAAAGGAGAGAGAGAGAGCTAGAGAGATTGAGAGGGAAAGGGCTCGACAAGCTGTGGAAAGGGCTACAAGGGAAGCTCGTGAGAGAGCAGCTGTTGAGGCTCGCCTTAGAGCTGAAAGGGCTGCTCTTGAGAAAGCTAATGCTGAAGTCAGAGAACGAGCAGAACGGGCTGCTGTCCAGAGAGCACAAGCAGAAGCCCGTGAAAGGGCTGCTAATGAGGCCAAGGAAAGAGCTGAGAAGGCTGCTGCTGAAGCAAGGGAGAGAGAAGCACGCGAGAAGGCTGCAGAAGCTCAGATAAGAGCGGAAAGAGCAGCTGTAGAAAGGGCCGCTGCAGATGTTAGGCAAAGGGCTACTACAGAGGCTCGTCAAAAAGCAGCGGCTGCTGCTGCTGGGGCTTTGAGGGCTAGTCAACACAATAATGATAATGATCTCAATTCCTTTTTCAAGATGGGTTCTCATGCCACCACAGCTCCAAGGCCAAGAGTAAGTTCATCGGTATGGATGTGAAAGTCTTTCTTCTCATGTATTGCTCATTCTGTTGTTAACCTCTTGGAACATATGCCTCAGTATCCTGAATTTGATGCAAAAGCTCAGAAAAGGCAAGGGCCTGAAGCGGCAAAGACATCTGCTGCAACATCATCTAATATAAGAAAAGCGTCTTCAACGGCCAATCTTGTTGATGATCTTTCCTCTCTTTTTGGTGGTACTATTCTAGAAAGATGGTTTTCTTTTAATGTCATGGTCATCATTTTGTGTTTATTGCTTGCTGAATATTATTAATCCGTTTGGGCACAAGGTCCTGCACCATCCGGAGAATTCCAGGAAGTTGAAGGTGAAAGTGAAGAAAGAAGAAGATCCAGACTGGAACGCAATCAGAGAACGCAAGAAAGAGCGGTAGGTTTTCATTTTGGCAATTTTTTTTCTGCAACTCTGAAGTGAGTGCTTTTTCAGCTGAAGGTGTTTCGAATGTTGAGTGTATTATGTTTTTACTCTTTGCATGTTTTATTCAGGCCAAAGCACTCGCTGAGAAAAATCAGCGTGATCTTCAGACTCTAAAGGAACAGGAAGAGAGACATGTAAGAGGCTTGAGTTTCCCACTCTGTGTATAGTTTCACCAAGATGCCATAGGTTTTCTATCATACTTATTTGATGTTGTGGCTGTGACATGGGAAAGGTGGAGTTATCAATGTAGCCCCTCAAAGTGGAATCAATATGACCCCATCTGATATGTTATGCTGCAATTTCTATCTGATGTTTAAGGAAAATGATAAGTAGAGTAGGAGGTGTAGTTGCTGTAGTGGGGATTATAATGGGTGTTAGAATCGGAAAGCAACACAGGGGCTTAAGTGCATAGACTGAACCCCTCCCCCCCCCCCCCCCCCCCTCTCTCTCTCTCTCTCTCTCTGTGACATGATATTAGTTAGTTATGCCTCATTACTTCCCAAAAAGTTGTCTTCATGGTGCCCATAAATGCTTGGAGTTGCATATCTTTGCGTGTGAATAATTCCTCTTGCTTCTGATTACGCATTTATCTTCTCGGTGAAAAGCTATATCCTATATGGCTATTTGCTGACACTCCTGCTATTAAGTTTTCCTTAAGTTAACGTTAACCGCTTATCTGACAAATTCCTTCAGAGGATTGCTGAAACACTGGATGTTGAGATAAAGCGCTGGGCTGCTGGAAAAGAGGGTAACTTGCGTGCTCTGCTATCCACTTTGCAATATGTAAGTTAGATGTGTTCCTCCATGTTCTTTTCCCTGTTGTGCATTGCTTGCAAAAATACAGGCTGCATCTTCTGGTACTCATGCTCTGGGACGTCAAGAAGTCCCATGAGGACTTAAATTAGTGTAGCTAATGCATGCTTTTTAGGTAAATGATGCTTTGGACGTGGCCTGAGTACTTTAGGCATTGTTTTTTTTTATTTAATGATACTGGCATTGGATGGGTGCAACAACAAGTGTTATGCAATCTTCTGTTACTCATCCTTTGGGACATCAAGAAGTCCCATGAGGACTTCTATCAGTGTAGCTGTTGTATTAATACGCATGCAATTAGGTAAAATGATGCTTTGGACGTGGCCTGAGTACTTTTAAGCTTTATGTTTTCGGATTAACTGATATCCACATTGGACAGGATGCAACAACAAGAGTAAGACAAATGCATGGGAGAGAATAGGCACCCATCTGCATTGAAGCTGTTACTATCTCCTGTCTTGGTTTCATTATAGATTAGATTTGTTAAAAGAATGCATGGTTTATTCAGATGCGATCTTTTGGTATACAAGTAATGGAGCATTAAATATTTTTCCTCACCAGAGCCAAAAACTGATGTTCCCCGTTTTCAAAGCTCCAAAAAAAGAGGTGGATTTTATGTGGTTCAATATTGAAATTTGCGGTGGTAAATTTGGCTGAATATGGGATGGCCATTCTTCTTTAGCATTTCACTCATGACGAGTTCTTGAGATCCTTGAAGTCAGTATGTATAACATGGGATTATTGGATAATTATAGCAGGATTTTAATAGATGACACAATAATGCACTTGAGTCCTAAAACTCACTTTTTGGATTTAAATCATAAAACTTGTCACAGTCGTTCATTTTAATCCTTCTGTTAACTCCGTTTGGCTTTAGTGGATGGAAGATCTACGTGGCTTCTTTTTTTTCCTTAAAGGGCACATGGCGTTTCTAGGACCCAAGTGCATCTAAGTTGCAAGTTTTAGGATTTAGATGCACTAAGTGAAAGTTTTAGGACACAAGTGCATTATCATAACAGATTGTAGGACTTACCTTGTGATTGTTACTATAAACACAATAGGGAGATGTCTGAGTGTTCTTCTTGAATGGCAGTTGTGGCACTCTCTCACAGTAATCAAATGCTTTTCATTGGAAAGCAGTACATAGGAAACAGTTTTGCATGAAAAAGATGTAGGTGCAAACTTTGTGTCACATCACAGTGCCTACAATAAACACAGCAAACCCAGAAGATTTAAAGCTGTTGGCGGTGATAAGAGGGATCATGCACTTACAGAAATTCCTCATTGGTCTACTTGATAGAGAAAGTAGCTACTTTCTTGCTTCGTGTGCATGAGTTCAGATGTTTTTTGCTTTAAAAAATTGCACTGGACACATTGAGGTTTAAGGAAGATGCTTCCAAGAAATACTGCTTGTGAGCCATGTTAAACTGATAGCATTGTTGAGCTTTTGCTGACTTGATCTGGATGTACTCCTGCATAGGACTGTTTTGCGTATTTTTAAGCTACCTGCTTGTTTTTAAGCTACCCTGTGTTTATCGGCATATATCACCCAAAGTTATTTATTAGACATTTTGCTCAAATCTCATATCAACTTTTTATGATTGTATCCTCTACCATTTATTTCTCTTTTTCAATTGTTTGAAGAATACCTTTCTGGTGATAAGGCTAAGCAATTTCTGTTAATCATATTCTTATTAGGTGCTCTGGCCTGAATGTGGTTGGGAACCTGTTTCTATGACGGATTTGATTGCTGCTGCTTCAGTTAAAAAGGTCTATAGGAAGGCAACTTTGTGTATTCATCCTGACAAGGTGCAGCAAAAAGGTGCCAATCTTCAGCAGAAATATATTGCTGAGAAGGTTTTTGACCTCCTTAAGGTATTTAAAATGCAAGAGCTTTGAAATTGTCATCTTATTTTTTTGGTGGACTGAAAAACATTAGGACAGTTTCACAAAAATAGCATTGCTAACATCGGAAAAATACAAAATGACTCTAGTCTCACCCATTCATTGGCATGCCATAAGCCGCATCCATGATGCAGTAGATTGTGTGTCTTAATCTTGATGTTATGCTTTTCTTTGTATTCTATGGTTGGAGAGTAGGGTTAGTCCCATATTATCAGGTTTGAATGGAGGGTAGGTCCTACATTTGGATCTGATTCTATTATGCATGTGGAAATCAGTTAATATTTTTTTTGTAATGTACGTCATTGGATTTGGCAACTTTTGCTTTGCCATTTTTTAGGAAATACCAGCTACACAAACTGATCTGCTTGTTTTCTCATTAGTTATGAAAATTTTGTCGACGGAAAACATTAAGACATTTGGAAAAGAGCTCATATAAAGAAAATGCTCATTTGCATGATTGAGAAGTTATTACAAGGTTACATTTTGGATGCTTTATTTAATGTTCTAAATCATTTTAAAGATCATTAAAAGAAGATCCATCCTCTTCAAAGACTTCATTATTTTTTTTTTCCTTTCCCTTTGGGTACTTACCAAATGAGGAATAACAGTGGGAATTTTCTCCAAAAAATAAAAAATTGGTAGGAAGTTTCTTCATCTTTTGGCATGTGAATACCCTGCCAGGTCTGCAATTCTGGTTCCCTGATCTTGCAGTGGTGCCCCTTTAGCAGTCTTTGCGCTTCTGGAAGTACCTTATTCTTTGTTGGTTTTCCGTAAACATAATACATCATTAACAATTCTTTTGGAGGAGGGTAAATGACCCTTCTGAAGATTCTCCCTCAGCGCTCTCTACTTTTGGTAATGTTTGCTCCATGTGATTATGTGGGAAAGAAGTTTTTTTTTTGGGTCAAAGCGGGGAAAGAGGTTTTTACTACTTTTATGGGTGCCATTTGGTTCTTGTTTCGTGGTTTTAGTAATACGACATTCCAATGTCAGCGTTGATTATGAATTGTCCTTGTTATTACAGGAAGCTTGGAACAAATTTAATTCAGAGGAGCTCTTTTGAATTTTTGAGACAACCTTTCAGCTTCAAGCTATTTTAAGCAAGCGTACCATTTCTTTCCTTGGCGGATACTCCTGGAGGACAATGAATGTCTGAGGAATATAATCTTGCCAATATTGCACCCATTTTGAAATACAGTATATTTAAGGAAGTTTACCCTCAGGAGCTGCCAAAACCGTTCTCCTCATAGCCAATGATTTACTCAGGGTTACCAAACAAGTACATTCACTCAAGGACTATAAGGATCTTGGTGATCCTTATGTTGTAGGTTACTGAATGGAAGATCCTGTGGTCGCGCCTGCAATGAATTTCCTCTGCATTGTCTGAGTGAGGAGGCTCAAACGCATTGCCTTTTGGAATCCCCCACCCAGCAAATATAATAGCATTGTGTATACATCTCATGGAATTGGAACATTAACATCCATACCAGATTGCTGGTACACTTGTGAGAGATTTTTAGCATGGGTAAATTGTCGATATTCCCCTTTGAGGTTTTTAGCTAGCGAACCCCCTCCACTTTGAAAACAGTGAAAGCAGTCCCTATGCTTTTGATATTGGTGATAAAAGTCCCTCTGTACCCCTTCCCTTATGCGGTAGCATGTGAGATTGCTACTTCACCAGATACCTAAGTCCAGTAGAATTGTTGTCAAAAGTAGGATGGAGGTCTCACCAATATCCAAAGCTTGTGGACTAACTATACTAATTTTAGACTAGAGGGGTTGCTGGCTAAAATTGCGCAAGTAGCGGAGGTGTCTCGACGATTAAGCCCTCTGTTTTGGTTGTATTCAGATTATTGTCTATAAGGAAGCTGAATGGCGACGGGTACTTCCCTTTGATTAGTTTCTTTTCCTCTCTTCGTGAACAGGGATTCTACAATCGCTCAGCCCGGTTATTATAGTTACTTTAGCATTGAAGCAGATGGGTTTCTTTTAGTTTTTAGAGATTTTTGGATATGGTAGATGTCTACAGAGGATTTACTTTTTCCAGGGAAATGTGCAGGGCAATCTATGACTTCAATTGGGTCTGCATGCAATGGAACAGTGAAACATTCTAAGTGTCGTTTGGCCGTTTTTGTTCCTTTTGGGTTCTGGTTTGTTTAGAACCGGAAATACTAAACTAAAACTGCCCTAAAACCTATTGAGAATACTTAGTTTGGGTTTGGTTTTTCTGACACCCTTGGCTGCTGGCGCTAACATACAAATTGTAGTAATTTCTGCGAGACGTCGAGTAGATCTTACTAGGCATTAAGCAATCCAGATCAGAGCAGCTTCATTACCTCCTGGCCGGTGGCCAAGTCATGATCAATCAAATAGAACTAACTTAGAGAATTTGTAACGGTGGTTCCCACTATCGGGATCATTATAATCATCGTCGATAAACTAAGATCTACTTTGCCTAAAGCCGCTCAATCGGGTGATTAGCATTAAAATTAAGGATGGGAGGAGTGAAAGATAAGAAGATTTCAAATAAGTACGAGGATTCAATTCACAAGTCGACTATATTAGCTAGTTAAATATCTTTAAATAAGACTGCTGAGTGTTGACTAAGACAGTGTTTTGTTCAATCTCCTAACCAATTTCCATCCTCCTTTAATGCACGATTCTTTCATATTGATCCTGACTCAATTTTCCGCTCCAAGGGAACTCAAAGGTCGAAGACTACCGACCGGCTAGAGTGAATTCAAGCATACAAAGCGATCAGAGAAACCCGAGTCACAGTTCAATTCAACTCTTGATTACGTGTTTGACTCGGGCTCCAACTCATCGTCGAGCTTACATGATGATGATAACATATTTGATCGCATGCTGGGATCGAAGAGCTCTTCTATTCTGAGTGGAAGTGATTATTTTCATTACATTTAGCTTGATTTTGGGTAAAGGAGCGGTGGCTACCAAGGAAGTAATAACACCTAAAGAGGCTAGAGCAAGGCCTAATTGAAAATGAATCGAATTATTGATTGTGTCATAAAGACCTTTATGTCCACGCCCCAATCACACCCCCCCCCCCCCTCCCCCCGCGGAGGAATATGTGCTTCTCAAAGATATTTTATATTGTGCCCAATCCCGAAATTAGTTCTATACATATGACCAGCAACGAGAAAAAGAAATGCAATAGCTAAATGATGATGAGCAATATCAGTCAACCATAAACTTTGCGTTTGTGGATGGAATCCCCCTAGAAGGGTTAGAATGGCAGTTCCTGATCCTTTGGTAGTGTCGAGGTGAATGGCAATCAGCCTTAGAAGCATTTTGTTGAATTGATACCTGGATCCAGTCTAATATCTTCTTCGATAAACAGGTAGTTTTTAGTTTTCATTTGACTTTTATGCTCAATTCACCTTATAATGTTTCGATTGATCAGATGGTCGAAGTTAAACGTCAACTTGGTGAACACGTTGTAATTTTGGGAGACTTTCATGTCAACCATACACTAACTGTGACTTTCATGTCGAACGATTCCACCGAGCAGCCAGCCTCCTGTTCACACTAATTTTTAATCTAGGTGAACCGCGAGTAATTCATATGCTTTAGGTTTAGTTATCCATGATTGTGTCTGTAACTGGACTCTCTAAAACAAAGGTGAGTTTCTCTGTCCTGGACATCAGGTATGTTGGACATCATTACTTTCCCTGATTCAAATTACTAGTCACTTATAAAAATATTGGGACAATGCCACATGAAGTCCTGCAATCAAGTTCTAAAATCTAAAGTTTTCGAATCGTGCAATTAAACCCTAAATCTTGCACAGAAAATGCAATGGAGGGCTACTTCTGCTTGACTAGACTCTATGAACTGAAATTTCTGCTAGCGACTTTCCAATACCGAGTAATGGTCTAACCATCTCTCTATCTAGTCATGGCCACGGTTCGAAACCGACCGGTTCCGGTTCGTGGCCAAGTATGAACCGGACGGTTCCGGGCCGGTTCCGATTCCGGTTCAGGTTCGGAACCGATTCCGGGCCGGTTCATAATTTTTCTTTTCTGTTTTTTTTCTTTTTCTTTTCCTTTTCTTTTTTTTTTCTTTTCTTCCTCCGCCGGCCATAGCCGGGGCCGGCGGAGGTCGCCGGCCTCAGCGAGGCCGCCCTCGCCGGCCTCGGCGAGGGCCGCCTCGCCGGGCCGGGCGAGGCCGGCCTCGCCCGGATCGGGCGAGGCTCGACCTCGCCGGCGTCGGGCGAGGCCGACCTCGCTTGAACTGGCAAGGCACGCCTCGCCAGGCAGAACGGCGAGGCCGGCGAGGTCGAACCCTTGCCGGATCTGGGCGAGGCTCGACCTCGCCGGCAAGAAGCGGCGAGGCCGACCTCCCGAGGCCGACGAGGTCGAACCCTCGCCGGATCTCGGGCGAGGCTCGACCTCGCCGGCGTCGAGCAAGGCTCGACCTCGCCGGCGTCGGGCGAGGCCGACCTCGCCGCAACCGGCAGCGAGGCCGGCCTCGCCGGCCGCGAGGCCGCTCGCCGACGCCGGCGAGGCTCGACCTCGCCTGCAACTGGCGAGGTCGAACCCTCGCCAGATCTGCAGCTTCTTCTTTTTTTTTTTTTTTTTTTTTGAACCGGGCCCGTAGGGCACGGGCCGGTTCCGGTTCCAAACCGCGGGCCCGGTCAACGGGCCGGGCCCGGGTTTGACCGGGCCGGTTCCGGGCCGAAACCGGCCTGTGGCCATGACTAACTCTATGCTTTTCTTACAGTAATCTGATAACTGAACAGTTAATCTAGTACAATCCTCAAATTGTAAATTCGTATCAACATTCCTCACTGTCATTCACTCTTCCAGAGAGAATGAGTAAGCAGAACAAAAATTGACTGAAAAATAACCAGACAGATGACTTTCTGTTGCATAGTGATTCAGGTCATCTTCGAGCAATCCTGGAATTCCGGTTCTTACTTCTCAGTAACAAAACCAACCAAGTTGCTAGTTCCATTTGCCCAATTTGCGAACTCTGCAGAAGGAAAGGGAGAGTGCTTGTTGTGCAATCATAAGCATAAATTTCAAAGAAAAGAAACCCAGCATTTATAGCTGAACATGGAAAGGACGACGGGTCTGCACAGAAATCTAGCATCAGTTACAAGCATTTATTTGTCACTACATAATAGTGTCGAAAAAAGGAAAAAAGGAGCTTCTTCTGAACATCAGAATTCCTTTCCCTGTGAATCACTAACTATTAGTCCCGCCATACGCTGGTTAAAGGAGGGTGAAATGTGATGTTTCCATAACACAAGCATGGGCAATATACGAGCATTTATGAGTAGGCTACCCAAAGCTGATCAAGAAAGCGTGAAACCCACCTATGTGCTTGACAACGTGGACCCAATGACTACAATTAATTTCAGATGTGCGAGTGGAATAAGGAATTTGGGAAAAGCTCACTTGTTCTTACAGAACTTTTATTATCCAATCATCTGCAATTCGGATGCCAGGTTTCCGTATGGTCAAAACACCAGAGCTGCTTTTTCCTTGAAGCAGAAGGGGCCCGAATTCAATCTGGGCCTTTAGATTTCCTGGCTCGATGAGAGCATTCTTTGGCCCACCAGCATGTCCAAGAAGTATGATCCGCTCGATTATGCACTCTGATTTAAATGGAAGATTACCAGAGGTAGCAGGTGCCATGTTAAGTGATGCAAGTTTGCCCTCAGCGAAAACAAATCGCCGGTGAATGTATGCCCCATGCTTGAATTCAAAGCTTTTCCCATCATCAATATAGAGTTCGCCTTCGGCTGCTTGGGAACTATTCAGAGCTATTACCTGAAATGAGATAGGAATGCTGTAAGCAACACTCACAAGTCACCAGTAACAGCATTCACGGGACAGGAAAAATGGGCCTTCATAATGTCTGCATTAGGAAAATAATCACATGCACAAGCAACACTGAAAGAAGTGTAAAAGCATCAAAGGAAAAATCTTACAAATCTGGACATATTATAGGTGGATGATATAAATAAATAACAGTTATCCACAGAGGAACAGTACTGAGAAAGAACATGAAGACAGCAATTACACCATCTCAGAGGTTATTGCAAAATTAAAAAGTGCCATTTCCAGGAAGCAATTTATTAGATGGTCTTTTCTCTTTAAATGCTGATAATCATAATTACAATAAGCCAGTAGTATGATTCCAACATAATCATTGGTTATTCTAGAGGTTACTTCATATTGCATTGTGCAATAATCAGATAAGTGCATCAAGAATTCTTCGACTCCAATATCATATCAGAACCGTATAATAGGAATAAATTGATCATTCATATGTTACATGATTCCCAGTTACATGCTGAAGCCAAGACTGAAAGTTACAGTAAGGCCCAAAGGCTTTCAGAAAACATAAGCAAGGGAGCATTTATAAATTGCTGTGTGTATTTAGTAAGCTTGGAGCATAACAACTTGAGCCTCGAAATGACAAGATATTGTCAATACATACCAGAGTGTAAGGATCATTCACCATCTGTGTGGTGCTACGACGAAACCGATCTCTTCGTGGTATGATGGTTCCAGCCCTCTGGAAAGCCGGAACATGGTCTTCTGAAGCTTCCAGCTTGTGAGTTTTACTGCCCACGTATGCTGTCCCAGTTCTTAGGTCATACCAAGACTCTTTCCCCGGCAAATATACTGATACATGTTTGGCACGCTGGTCCAGAAGAGTAAAGTATGCTTGATATTGCTACTAAAAGACAATAAAAGAACAACAAACTGAGGTTCCAAAGAGGACAAAAAAGCAATGATAAAGCACCTCAGTGAAGATGCCTTGGACCAACAGACTATTTCCCACCATGAATGCCTCGTCTTTGTCAAAAGTAGCTTCATCAAAAGGGAACTCCATCCACAGAGGGCGTAGCACTGGAACACCAGTGA